GGAGTGTCTTGCCAGTGGGTTTCAGCCCCGGACAAGTTCACTATAGATTCAGTGTGACCAAAGAAATGACAGTAGAATGTTCTTGGGGTGAAAGGGTTATACCCAACTTTATTTCCATAGTGGCAGGTCAATCACTAAAATCCCGTTCACTCAGAGCAAGTGCATGCAGCAAGCGGTCTCTGCCTCTGGGCCTTTCTGCCTGCACAGCCATCCTCTGGGCCTCTGTCCTTGGCATTGCCACCACTCCAGCCTCTGCTCCACTCTCCGGCAGCCATGCCACCGTGTCACCCAGAGCACTGGGAAGGGCTCTTTATATAGAGTCAATAACGACGCATTGCCCACAAGTGTGCAGTGAACTAGCCAACCAGGGCCAGCAATCCTGGCCACAGGAACCTTCATTTTATCCACAGGGAGATAGTCATTCATCCAGGACCCGTTGCCAAACAACAAAGTTATTTTCTCCTCCTGCTGATAGATGTGCTTCCTGCAAAGAGTCTCTCATCTGGGAGCTGGCACATCTGCTTCAGTCCTGAACCACCCCATCTCTTGAGGTCCCTGTCTGTCATCTCCCCATGCACACCAACCTGCGCTGGAGATGATGAAATGCTCAGCATGAGGAAAGAACCCAACCACGGGCCTCCCAGCCTCCCCAGCACCAGCAGGCCAGCTGCAGTCATGTGCTCAGCACTCGCTGTGCCAGACACTGTGCTGAGCACATCATCAGTACCTTAACCCTCAAAATCACCCATTTTCTCCATTTTATTGATGAGGAGATTGAGACTTGAGAAGGATTATTAACTTCCTGGAGCAGTTAATAGCTCCCAGAAGGAGAACTCACACTCCCACAGAGAATAAAAGCTGTGTTCTGAATGTCTGTGATGCCCTGCTGCCCTCCAGGGCTTGGGGATCGCAGGTTATAAATACCTCCACACCTTTGACTTCCTATTGCCCTTCTGTCATCAGTCATACATCCAACAAAACACTTATTGGGCACTTATTATGTATGAGGGCCTGTGTCAGGCACGCCAGCTATAGAAGTGAGTGGCAGCATGGTGCCCTCAAGAACAAGGAGCAACTAAAGGACATTGAGCACATATAAAATGTATTCAATTCTTTGCCTATGGTAGGTGCTCAGTGCATATTTGGTTAAATAAAATCACTGCAATTAAACCTCCAAGATCATTCTTTGGAGACTAGGCAGCAAATCAGCATTTCACTGCACAACTGGCTGAGGCAGGTCCAGGGGAGGCATGGGTTTGGGGTCAGGGGGCAGTTATTACTTTTATTACTATTGAAACCACAAGCCTGCCTGGAAAAAAAAAATTCTTTACTCCACAGTTAAGAAGATTCATCTCCTCTTATCTAGATCTACACATACAAACTAGTTTGCTAGATTTCAGGTGCAAGTTTAAAGAAAGGCTCTGTGTGTGCCCGCACACATGTGTTCATGCATGTGTGTGTACAAGAGAGATTTTTGTATAAGACTCTGATTATTTAAGGAGATTGATAACAGATGAAGCAACTGCTTAAAGGAAACCTGTCCTGCCAAAGGCTAAACAATACCATTTCCCTTGGATGACATCCTGTAGACACAAAACCAATAGTATGTATCTTAGTGATCTAGCAAGTTAAGTTAAGGATTCATGCCTGTCCTGTGAGAGCAAAATGGACAGGAACACCAATGTCCTGATGCCTAGAAGGCAATCTAGTGCCAACGAATTTACCTGGCTAAGAACTTAGCCTGGGGCTCTGAGGGACACATGTGCAGTTCATTATTGCCCCATGCTAGGCACAGGGCACTTTCCATACTGTATCTTCTTTAATTTTCCCAATGACCCTACGTAACCCCAAAGTTAGCTGGCAGCTTTAGCATCTCAAGATCAGGTGAAAACATTGCAGACCTGGTATTGAAACAGCAAAGTTGCCTGGTTTGCTTGTCAGGTTCCAGCATGTCATTACTTTGAATTAGAATAAGGGGTTTAGTGTTCAAAGTGTTCTGTAAAGAAACTACTTAGTCTCATGCTGTACTTTAGCATCTCAAGATCAGGTGAAAACATTGCAGACCTGGTATTGAAACAGCAAAGTTGCCTGGTTTGCTTGTCAGGTTCCAGCATGTCATTACTTTGAATTAGAATAAGGGGTTTAGTGTTCAAAGTGTTCTGTAAAGAAACTACTTAGTCTCATGCTGTCTGTATTTTCTGGGATATTTTCCTTTGCTTTTCTCTTTGAAAAAATGCTGATGAGCAGCTATTCCTGGAGCATCTTGAATGTGTTTGGCACTGTGGTAGGTGCTGGGTTGTGGGGTTGAACACGGTCAACTTGGTTCTTGCTCCTGTGATGCTTAGAGTCTGGTGAGGAAGAGATGCCAGAAAAATCATTCTGTCTAATTAGCTAAATCATTATAGACTGGTCTCAGCTCTGCTGTGCTAAGAAAAAACACAGAGCAGAGTTCTGCCTACACCTGGTAGAGTTTTAAAGGAGATGGCACCATATCCACCCCGGCAAGTGTTGTAGAATTGGGGAGTGCCCAGGAATCACAGTGTGGGGAAACCCAAAAGAGAAGATACCACTCTGGGGAGAAATGTGGTGCCAGCTCCCCTTTATTCCTGGAGAGCCTCCCCCAGGCTCTGCCTGGCACAGAGCAGTCCTTGGACACTCGGTGCTTTGTTCATAAGCAAGACTATTCCCTTACAAGGGAGTCATTCAGCTTTGGAAAGCTAGTTTCAGTGCCCAGCAACTGGTTTAACTGAATCTTTCACTTCTCCATGAATTGCTTTGGCATTATTTAAACCCAGTCATAATATTTTGGTTCACAGGAAGCTAAAGAGTGACCTTTGTAAGTTGATCAAATCGTAAAACTAATGAAAATGGATGGCTAGGGCTTCCAAAGGGGCATGAAGATAGGCCTCCTCTAGGCAGTTCAGCCTGAGCTTCTTTCCATGCAAACACAGTGTGGATAAAATGAAAACTCCTGTGGTCAGGATTCTCACCTGGCCTTGGTTGGCTAGCTCAGTACATACGTGTGGGCAATACGTTGCTATGGACTCTATATAAAGAGCTCCGCCCAGTGCTCTGGGCAACACTGTGGAAGGGCTGCAAGGCTGCAGGAAAGCAGAGCAGAGGCTGGAGTGGTGGCAGCACCGGGGACAGAGGCCCAGAGGATGGCTGTGCAGGCAGAGAGGCCCAGAGACAGAGACCGGCTTGCTGCATGCAGACTCACTCTGAATGGATGGGATTTTAATGATTGACCTGCCACTATGGAAATAAAGCTGGGTATAACCCTTTCACCCCAAGAACATTCTATTATCATTCCTTGGTCTCACTGAATCCATAGTGAACTTGCTCGCGGCTGAAACCCACTGCCAAGACACACAGTTTTCAAGAATTTTTTTCCAAGTCTTTTCTTTCTGTCAGCCATTATTTCATGCCAGTCTGGATTAAGTTCAAAAGTGTTGCTCTATAGCTTTTGCTGACACATACATTCACTGAATCCTAATGGCTGTCCTCTGACACTGTCTGCCCCCAGCCCCCACGCCTAGCCAGGCCCACCCATGGGCTCTCACTTACGTCAGTAAGAGCTGAGAAGGTAGGTGTCTGGGATTCCAGCTTCAGACCCGGGTTTCCTTTCCTCCTCACCAGCTGAGCTGTTGCAGCTTACTAGAAATGAAAAGGGTTCTCTGAGCATCAGACCATGTGGTCCCCTCAACAATTCAGTGGGAGGTGAACTTGGTAAGCCTAGTAAATGGGACATGACCCTATAAGAAGGCAGGGTCTGGAGACCACGGCCTCTGTAGGGGACAGAATTCTAAGGGTGAATCCTCTTAGTGTCTGACACTGTCACTTACTAATTGTATGATATTTGGCAAATTAGCCTCTGGAAGCCTTCACTTTGTCATCTGTAAAGCCCTTGGATCAACCCAGGACACAGAGACATTGGGCAATACAGGACAACAGTTGTAGTCATTGTTACTTAGAGTCTTAATGGAGAATGTGCCACGATTTGAGGACCACGGCCATTTCGAGTCCTTAGGTCGCGAGCCGGGAATGCCCTGGGGCTCAGGGATGGATTCCTATCTGTCTGGGAGAATAAAGAACTTCCTTTCTGAGGAATGTCAAGACCGCCTCGTTGGTGCCACACTGTTTCAGTCTGGCACAGCCCCCCTCCCTGTTTCTGGTCTGCTTTGCCCGGCCTTTTGGCTTTACTCACGGTCTGCTACTACCACTTACCCCGCTTTTGCCTGCCCCTCGACTGCCCCTTCTGAGGGACGGCCATGCCCCCTCCTCTTTCACTTCAGCTTTCTTCATCTGCAGCCTAGTCACACCAATGTTGTAGCCCAGTGGTTTGGAGAAATAACAGGATATAGTTTTACATAATTTCTCCGCTTGGGAAATGCTGAGAAGAGGCCCTTTCTTGCAGAGACCCCAAGGATAAGGGTGCAAGTCCCCTTCTGCTGAAGGCCACTAGATCCAAGTGGTTCCGAAATGGAAACACATGCAAGCTGGCTGCCCTGGGGCTCCTCTTCTCCCTGCCCACTCAAAACCCTGAGGCAGGGATGCTGTAGCTGCTGAGGTAGGACCACCATGGATTTGGCTTCAGGACAAATGGTGGATAAGGCTTCTGAGGCTTGGACCACTAGTGCTTAGTGCTGGGTGGATGGTAAGATGAGGAGGCCCTGAAGGAATCTGGTCTGTTTGGCTTTGGCAAAAGAGCCAAGCTTAACTTTCAGAAGCATGTGTGTGTTTGAAGGCTGCATGGATGGATACCAGGTGGCAGGAGAGCCCTCTGACTACAGAGACCAGGGCTGAGGGAGCATTTTGGATTTAAACCTGACTTCCCTTCCCACTCCTGGTGAATTTTAAAATTCACCTTTGAAGGCTGTGGTCTCCAGACACTGCCTTCTTATAGGGTCATGTCCCATTTAATAGTATGAAAGCATACACTGTATTTTGGGGCCTCAAATGCACTACCAAGGGTGAAACAAAAATAATAAAATTAAAACTAAGATCAAAATGAGAAAATTTATTTTTCTGATGCTAGCCCTAGGCATTTGATTTGGGGATGTGCTAATTGCTGAAAGAGGAGAAATGTGGGGAGAAGAAAAGATGCACCTCAGGGTTCTGAGTTAGTGATGGGGATGTAGACTGAGAGATCTGGCTCCCAGGCTGAGAGAGAAGGAAGGTCCATTACATCTGGCTTGAAATGAAGAGAAAATAAACGCTTTTTATCTCCCAAATAAAAGCAGGAGAGCACACTAAGTTTGAATCCTGGCTCTGCTCCTCATCAGGCATGTGACGGTAGGCAAGTTACTGAACCTCTCTGAGCCTCAGCTTCCTTGTCCATAACATAAAGAATATCATGTGCTAAGGCTTGTATTGGTTTGCTCGGGCTGCCATAACAAAGTACCATTGACTGGGTGGCTTACGGATATTTACTGTCCTATGGTTCTGGGAGCTAGAAGCCTGAGATCAAGGCGTCAGCTGAGTTGGTTCCTTCTGAGGCTGTGAAGGAGAAGCTGGCCCGTGTCTCTCCCAGAGCTGCTGGAGGTGTGGTGCCATTCTTCGGCAGTCCTTGGTTATGTAGAAGCTTCACCAGATCTCTTATTTTCATCTTCACATGGCATCATCTCCATGTGTGTGTCTCTATGTCCAAATTTCCCCTTTTCATGAGGACAGTAGTCATATTGGACTAGGAGGTCTACCTATTTCAGTTTGACCTCATCTTAACTGATCATTTTGTCAATAACCATATTTCCAAATGAGTCACATTATGAGGTATTAGGAGTTAGGACTTCATCTGAATTGGTGGCAGATCAGCAGGGACACAATTCAACCCATAACAGGATTATTATAAAAATAAAAAACTATGACATGTACATAATGTTCTTAACAGAGTCCCCAATACAACATAAATGTTCAATAATGGAAGCTATGGCTATTGTTATTTTTTGCTAAACCTTCATTCACTAAAGATTTATCTATAGCTAGGCCAGATCACTGGGAATAAAATCATGTCCTATATACATCAGCAACATCATCTAAGTTACCCAGGACGAGTATGTCCATGGAAGGTGGGATGCTAGGTTGTAGGAAATTTTAGGCTATGTGCACACCTTGCTAATACATGGGCCAGCCATACTGACAGACATGTGGTTAGATATGTGTATGTCTTGAAAACTATATAGAAAGATCTTTGCTCCAAAATCTAAACCCCCTGAAATTTAGCCATGAGATTCATCTAGATTAGTTGCTAGTGATTTAGATATCATTTTGAATGAAGGTATAAGGCATGCTCCTCTGTGCTTTGAATATGGGTCTAGGAAGAAAGAAGAGGTCTTTCCAGGGCCTGGCCCTCTGGGGAGAAAGTAGGTCTGAGTATCAGTATGAGACTCCTGGGAGCACACCCAGTGAGTGGGTCACCTGGAAAAAGCACAGTGACCCAGATGGGGGAAGTGAAAGGACAATAAGGTGACTGTCACCAACTTTGCAAACTTGCCTCTATTTTAAACAAAGGAGGTATGGTTCCTCTGTGAAACGATCAGCAGGCTTTTGTGCATGTTCTGTAGACCCCAAGCCCCTGTTCCAGGGTTTTCTGTGGTGCCATCAGTAGTCATGACAAGAAGATGAGTCAAGAGCATTGGACTGGGAATCCGAAGGCTGGCATGCTGCCCCTTTCTCCACAGCAACTTCGCTGTGTGACCTTGGACAAGATTCTTCCCCTCTCTGGGCCTCAGTAGCCTCATCTGTAAAGTAGTGGCTGGACTGCCTTCTCTCTGTGGACCCTGCTGGCCTGACAGTCTTTGATATACTGATCTTGACTCAGGGCCTGCTCCAAAGTCAATTAGAAAGAAATTCTCCTGAATTATGAGTGTCGTGAGCATAGGTTTCTTCTGCTGGAATGCAGCTCTGCTGAGGTTGTATCTCCGTATCAGTCATCTCTGGAAGGGAGGAAAAAGAAAGAAAGATCATCTGCCTGTATTAAAACAGGAAAGAGAGCAAAGTGCCATCTGAAGGGAAGTGCGGAGCAGGCTGGCTCATGCCCATCTTTGAAGCATGGAAAGGCACTTTCCCTGGAATGTGTGAGTGAATATGATGAGCGAGCCTGTTTGATTAAGCAGCATGAAACTGGCAAGCCAGCATTCTATATGTTTTGTTTTGTCTAATGGCTGTAATCAGAAATCACGCCATCTCATCAAAAGTGGGAGTGGGAGCCAGTGATGAGGCCAACAGGTAGTTGTGCCTCTGCAGCTCTTTTGAAGACCCCTCCTCACATCTCCCCAGAACCTACAGGATTTGAGAATGTGAAGGGGTCTCTGATGAAGTCTCCACGAATGGGAAAGTAATTGGATCACTTTGTCAAGTCAGTTAACAGCTCATCGGTTCCATTTCCTTCCGTGAATTTGGATTAGATAGCCAGAACCTAGTAGAGTGGCTGGCACCAAGATACGTGCTTCAAAAATATTTATTAAATGAATTAATCAGTGGGTGAATGGAACAAGGGAATGCATGAATAATGGATGCAAACCTTACAGGTAAGAGGGGGAATGTACAGATGAAATTTTAGCTCTTTGTGTCAGATTGACATAATTTTTGAGAGGACTTTAGTGATGTGGGACCTGACTGTTGGTTCCTCAGTGATAAAAGATAAAGATGCCTACTTTGGAGCCCTAGGTCTTTTCCTCACTTGCTGTGCAGTTAAGGAAGTTACTCAACCTATCTGTGCTTGGTTTTCATCTCTAATGTGTGGATACTACTAGTACCAACCCAGGTCAGAGGAGTGGTGGGTCCACCTAGAGAATATGTGTGAGCACTAACTGAACTTTGTAGCACAACAAACTACTGATTAGGCTGGATAAGAATGGAGTTAGCCCTGTGTGTGTACCACTTGGCAGTTGCCTTTATGGGATGATTCTAAAGGTGGATGAGGCTCTTCTCCCCAACTATCATCCCCCTGACCTCTAGTGTGCTTAAAATTCCTACTCTTAGAATTCCATTTGATCCAAATTAATGCCTAGAGAAGTCCCTTTGGCAGCATAAGTTGCATGAGAAGGTGAACACATTCACCCATGAGCCACTCATTATTTCCCAAACTTCAGTCTACCTTCAAAACCCAGGGCAATATCATAGCCATTAATTCCTAGGCTCTGTAGTCACTCATTTAAAATCTAAGCTATGCTATTTACTAGCTGTGTGACCTTTGGCAAGTCACTTAACTTTGCTGAATCTCAGTGTTCTCAATTGTAAATGGTTAATGATATTTGCTTCTTGATGTTATCATGGGGTTAAGATGAGATAATGTACATGATCTCTTTGCATATATCACTCATACTCAAAGGGAGTGATTATTATAATACAATTTTTGTCCCATTGAGGGAATTCATAAGAACATTGTTATGAGCTAAATGCTTGTGTCCTCCCAAAATTATGTGTTGAAGCCCTAATCCCCAGTGTGATGGTATCAGGAGGTGGGGCCACTGGGAGGTAATTAGCCATAGAAGAAGTCATGATGAGGGTGGAACCCGCATGATGCATTTAGTGTCCTTAAAAGAAAAGGAAGAGACCAGAGCTCTGTTTCTGCCATGTGAGGACACAGCAAGAATGAGCCTGTCTGCAAGCCAGGAAGGGAGCCCTCTCCAAGAACCGGATCTCAGACTTCAGTCCCCTAGAACTGTGAGAAATAAAGTCTGTAGTCCAAGCCACCAAGTCTGTGATATTTTGTTATGTCATCCCAAGCTGATTAAAGAAACCATGAACAGCAATTCTCAAAGATTTCCAACAATAGCAGCATCACTGAAACAAGTTGCTGCTCCTAAAATGACCACTTGCAGGACACCCCTCGCCCTCCCCACCTCCCACAGACCAGTGGCCTTTGACGGGCCTGTGCTGCAAGTGCACACTGCTGGATTGAGGAAAGTCCCGGAAGGTCCCTTGAAAGAGATTGTCTCTAAATGGGGTTCAGAAAGACGAATGGGATGGGATGGAAAATGGGGAGAGAGGTCATTTCTGCTTCCCTGTGACTGCTGCCATTTTTATGAGCCCCTCGCCTCCTGTTTACCCCACTACTGTCCTGCTCCCCACCCCCCACCCAACCTTGTGCCAAAGGGAGCCTCCTTTGGAAACGTCTGTCTTCAATTCACTCCTTTGCCCTGAGCATTTTGTTGTTCAGGATGCTGGGAGACTGTGCCCTGCATCTTGTCCCCTGGTCTGTCTCGTCCCCTGGGAGATGCCTCAAGGAGGAAGCACCAAGCTAGACGATGCGAGAGCATGTGAATCCTAGTCGTTTGCTGGTTTTAGAGATCATCTTTCTCTTTTGACTAGAACTTCATCTTGCCTCTTTGCCCCAAGGTAAATTTAAGGATACCGCAAGACCTGCATATCCAGATATTCACCTTCGCTTCTCCAGGGGAAGGTGGGGTCCAAGAAGAGCCGAGACACAGACACACACAACAGCTAAATGCAGTACCATATTTGGGTTGCAGCACAGAAAAGGGTTAAACAGATTTTCTTCTCATATCTTTTTGAGATCGTTTTATAGCTCCAATCTCAAGGGAAATGAGCAGTTTGCACATTTACCGTTTCCTATCATTCGACCATCTGTAGGCACCACCTTTCACAAAGAGCTTATACGTTAACTGGTCACTTTATCATTGGAATATATTTGGAATATCAAAAACCAGCTGTTACAGAGCTATAAACTGGAGACTTTATTACATATTGTTGATCATTACTTTGGTATTTGGAGATTCATAATGCACGGACTTTGAGATCTATCTGTATTGCCAAGGAGGCCAAAGTTTATTTCCCTAATAATATGCAAATGGAGCCTTTATACCAGATAATGAATAATCACTTCAGATTAAAGGCTGAATTTTCTTTTAGTGGTACTGGCGGTGCAGCCTTTTGCATGCAGTTAATAATTAATTTAAAGAATTACCACTTCAGTGAGCCCTGCTTACATTATTTATTAAGTGTAATTAAAGTATTTATTAGTCAAGTAATAAATGAGGGACAACCCCCAGCACCTTAACAGTGTTGTAAAATAATCACAGACCATGTTTATCTGCAAAGCAAGACTGAGTGTGGCTCGAGTGTGTTAACAGATTATTTGTGATCCTTTGGTGTGTTACCAGTACACCTCAACAATGGGTACATGTCTGGCATGCCCACCTGCTTCCAGGGCTCGGTTCATTCTATAGCAAACGAGTGCCTTGGCTTTTTATCATTGATTTGTGTTTGTTTATTGAGAAACAAAATAAAGGGGATTTCTTGATTCAAGCAAACACCTCCTGTCTACCACATTCATTGCAACTCAAAATGGCTGATCCAGCATTGCCATTTTGGAATTTCTTGAAGGACTGCTGAAAGCATTACCTATAATTAAGATGATTATACAAATTGTCTGAACCAGGGCAGTTTTGAGAATGAAATACTAGGTAAATTGAGAAGGTCCTAGGCAAACCAAGACTGAACCTTGGGTTGCTTTCACCAGGCTATGGAAATTAGAATCACCTTCTACCCCTAAATGCCACTCCCCATGTAAGGTTCTAGATAAAACCCTGGACCCCAGCCTTCCCTCAATTTCAGGCATCTTTGGGCTGCCCACAGTCTTCCCCAGGAAACCTTTCCTGGTCCCTCCAATCAGACGTGATCACTCCTTCCTCTAACTCCCAGCATGCTGCTCACACCTCTGCTGGTACATAACTCAGAGGCTTGCGGTATCTTCATATGTGCATTTATTTTTAACTTCACTCTATGAAAAGTTTGCAAACTTTTTGAGGAAAGAGATCATACCTGCATATTTTTGGTTCTTCCATTATTCTTATTTTGGTGCCTCACTGAAAGCATGTACATAGTAAACATTTACTAAGTAGATTTTATACTTGGGAAGCACAATCCCTTGTCTTCCTAATCAGGAGAGAGGGTAAAATTTCAGTCCAAGATCACTGACCAGAATCCATAACTGAGCAGATGGTCCTGCGGAGTGGACATAAGCAGTGGAAGGGGTCACCAGCAGGCAGCCAAGCCAAGGCCATTCACTTCTGCCATGGAAGTCACCTGAGAGTCAGAGTACTTGCATGTCAACGAACAAAGTCTCAAGGCCCACTCCAGTCAGACCAGTGACTTGTTGGCCCTAGAGAATCATGCTCAGCCTTTGCTCTCTGAGTCCTTGATCTGGAAAGTTCTCCATCCTATGCGTTCTGAAAAACAAGGATAAAATCTACCAAAGTGTATACAGGTTAAGAGACTCTCCTAAGGTTATTGAGATAATTGGCACATTTCTGCAAATCCTACCTCCTCATCTAGGTGAGACCCGCCTACCTCATGTTCCACCTCCCCTCAGAAGTGTTTTCCTGACCTCCTCTCTGACTGTTTAAAAATCTACACTATCCAATCTTCTCATTTCGACCCTTGTGCCCCCGGGCTGCACTGCTTCATATACACAAACCTCCAGCTCTCCAGGAAGGATGATGCCGTCTCCTTCCCCTACTTTCCCCACAGTACTGGGTGCACAGAAAGTGCTCAGCGAGTGAAGGAAGGGGGCCAGACCTCACCTGGTTTTCCCTGAATGCTTCCCTCCCCTGTCTGCCTGCCTCCACCTTCACTCACTTCCCAGGATCCCACCTGAAAAGCACTGTCACTTATCAAAAGACACTGTGGTATTAAAAAGGAAAAGAAGTGATGTGCAGCCAAAGCCAAAGGGGCTGAGTGGCAGTAGTAGAAGCAAACCCAAAGAGTCAGACTTCATGTTTTAATCATAGCCAACACTGCTGAGCCCAAACTTGTGGGCTTATAAATTGATTTGTCTTTGGACCCCTTTACAGAGCTGTTCCTAGGCGACCGACAGGCTGGCCATATATCATATGTGCTGGGGCCTCGTGCTGTGGCAGCCTGCTCCTGACCTCTTAATCAAGCCGACTGCTGGGGCACCGAGAGGAGATGGGCAATCACTTATGGAAACACCAGCTGGCATTGGTCCCACAACCATCTGCCTGTCTCCCTCTGGTCAGACTGACTGTCTGCTAATGCCCCCTTCTCCTGTGGGCCATTTATATATTTCCCCACCCTTTTTCTTTTTTTAAGTGGAAAACAAATAGCATTATTGGACGTGCTCTGCTTGGCTACAGCTGTGAATCACAAAGTTGGAAATCAGTCCAAGACAAGACATTCTCTGCTTGGCTGCAGAGAGGTCCAAACTGCTGATCTAGCCTCCTCTGATCTTTGGTATTTTATTTATCTATAAATTTGTCATGGCCCTTTTAGGAAACGTCTTGCTGTTGTGCATTTTCCCCACTCTTTTTGTTTCCAAAGGGAAGGGGCCTTTGCTGTAGTCATAACCTGGGTCAACAGTTCTTCTTGGCCTTGTCAGAGATAATCAGTGTAAAGACAATATGCGAGAATTGCATGCAGCTGGCAGCAGCAGGGATGGGAGACAGGTAATAGAGGTTTGACGTAATTCACTTTGGCTCTTCACTACTTACCAAAGTCAGTGATAGATCACAGGTAATGAGCAGAAGTGGATGATCCTGGGGTGGCACCCTTGTTCCACCATCATCATTGTGCCGCTCAACTAGGACTGAATGAGTGCCATTGGGGAGGATAGCACCATGCCCTCTCAATAGGAAACACATAATCCCTAGATCTGCCATCCCTCTATCTGTTTCTGCATAGCTAGATCTGTCCCTATATCTAACATTCTGACAGTCAGTTAAGCATCCAATCAACAAGTCAATATTGACAGTATCCTTTATGCCTTTCTTAGTTTCAGTTCTCCCAGAATCAGACCCTGAGATAAGGATGTGAGTACAAATTGTCTAGTTGGGAGTTAGAATTAATGCCAGAAAAGAAGTGAGGAAAGTCATACAGGAAGGAAAAGACAGTGAATAAAGGTGCATCATTTATTTTGCCAGCTACTGCTATGGGCCACTGGAGCCTAACTCTCGAGGAAACTCTGGGAAATGATGCAAACCACATGGCTCAGAATCATTGCAAGGGGTGAGGGAGCTGGGTGTTTATACAGCAACTCCCCAGAGTCCTTGGTTTGAGGGCTTTTGCTGGAGGGTGACTCTGAAACTCTGGCCTGCCATGTATAAATACAGCAAGCTTTCTCCCACTGAGGGTAGAGGAGGGAGAGCCCTCAGCCCCAGAAATGCAGATGCTGGTGGCTGGAGCCCACTGAAGGGTCCAGGGGATAAGGGTGGAGCCCTGGAAGCACCTGCTACAAAAACAAAAAGCTCCTCCCCAAATGAGGAGTTTCTGGGGAAGCCAGAAGCTGAAGGTACCCATTCTATGTTCTCCATGCAATCAGTCTGGAAGGATAAAACTTACAAAGCAATCCAATAACTAAGCACTAAGTGCCATAGTAAACACTGAGAAAAATAGAAGTTCAGGGGAAGGAAAAATAACTATCCAGCCAATAGGAAAGTTCAATTTAGGATTAAATTAGGACCAGGAGAATGGGTAAGATTTAAATTATGAAAAGGAGGGAAAGAAAGATTGAATAAAATTATTCATTCCCAAAATAGGGTATATAATTCAAATTGAAAAACAAATAATCAAATTAAACCCAGTGAACTCTTCCCTCCTATTCCTGTTCACATCATCGTCTTAGAGATAGTTTACCAGTACCCACAATTGCACTCCAGTAAGCCATTTTTAGTTTCTTGGCATCTCAATTCAATGGTCAAAGATTTGGATCAGTTGACTTCTAAATTCCTTTCCTATCAGAGATTTTAAGAACCATGGGTTATCAATAAATTATACAAAAGACCAATGACATTCTATTTTGAAAAATCATTTTGCTGGTTGTGTGAATATATGCCTTCTGATTTATCTGCCCATTCAGCAAACCACACCGCATTTAACCAGAACCCTTTAGGATTGGTGGCGGTTCATTATTTGAAGGGTGGGGACAGCTGATCACATGTCCCTTTGACAGAGGGCAGCATACAAGTATAAGAGATATTCTTGGCTGCTGGTTTGACCCTCAGTGGGAGACAAGACAGTACTTGTGTTCAGTGGAGAGCTTGGACTCAGAGAAGCCTGTGTTTGAACACCAGGTCTGCCATTTACCGACTTTGTGACTTTGGCAACTTGACCCCTGGAGGCTTCAATTTGTTCATCTCTAAAATGGAGGTGTTATTTCCACTATCAGAGTTGTTACAGGAATTAAAGTTAACAAGGACAGCGTCTGTAAAGTATGTAGCCCCGAATTTGAAACACTTCAGAATCCAATATACAATGATAATGAAAATACGTGTATTAAAACAAAATACCTAGCATATTATCTGCAGTCATCAAAGTGTGCCTACCCTCTGGTTCTAGCACTTCTTTTCACTTAATTTTCTATACTACATATTAAACCATTGGATTATTCATACCATGTATGCATGAGATGGGAATTTGATTTCTGGCTGGAGACCTTGCATTTTAGTCTATACATGCATTTTAAGTTCAGGAAAACAGTGCAACAGATAAGGAATCAAAGTTTAGGTTAAGACCATAAAAATGAGAGTTCTGGGGGTTTTTTTAAATATGACATTAATTTTATGAATGGTTTATTTTTCTTGTCATTTCATTTTCTCTCCAACCCCATCAACTAGGAAAAAAAGCCATCTTTGTGAGTACTGCTCTGAAGTAGCTACTCTGCAGTACCAGCAGGAGGTCACAATTCAAGGCCATGAGGGGCTAAGAGTCTGGCCAGACAAGGGCAAGGTCAGACTGTGAAAAATGGCTACAGGGCAAGGAGTAGGAGCTATGAAGCATAGCTGTGGTCTGCAATGGGCCTGAGGAATTCTTCCAGCAGCATCAGACACCATCAGAGAGTAGGGCATAAGCTTCTTCCTCCTTTGCAGCGGTCAGGAGAGGCCCACTGCTGCAATTGCTTGGGTGTTGGCCCAACGCAGGGCTCATATACTAACAGCCTCTCCTTGGCTGTGTTAGAGTGAGAGGAGGAATTACAGATCATGGCTCTGGGACAACTGCTACAACCAGGACTGTGCCAGGCAACTCAGAACCTGCAGCCACCCAGCCCTGGTAGTCTCTTTCCTTTTCACTTAGAGTCAGACCCAATCTCTCAGCCCCACTCTGCCTGAGAAGTCGAACAAGCAGTCCCCAAAGCTCCCTCTCACCCTATTTCTCTTCCTTAGGGATGGATGTCCAGAGCTCCTCTCTGCCTCTAGATGTGTCCATTGCTCTCCAGCACCTCCATCCCAGTGCTGGGCCAAGGCGGAGGAGAGAGGGCACTCACATAGGGCCCAAAATTGAAGGCAGTGCCAAAAAGCTCAGTAATCAAGATGGATCATATTTCAATACAATGTTTTTAAAAAATCAAAATTTGTGCAAAAATAACCCATTATGAGCAAAATATCCAGATTTTAAATAAAAACAGGATCAGTAGCAGTGCCATGCCAAGCCATACTGGAGCTCAAAGCAAAAGGAAAACCAGTTATACTAACCTTGTCTTTAGTTAAGGTCTTGGTGTTTCATTCCTTATGGATCTTTGCATTCATTTTCATTTTTTAAGGTATTGCATTAAATTATTGTTTAGCTTGCTGCAGGAGTTTTTGGCACCTCCTTTGATTTTGTACCTGAGGTTAGCACTTCACTCTCTCTACCCTAATCCAGGCCCTGAATTCTGTATAAATAACAGTAGCTGCCACTCCCCCCAAGCACTTGGTGGGAAACTGGCCCTGGGCTAAGTGCTATGCTTGTTTGATCTGTATAGTATCCACGTGTGGTAGGGACTCCATCACACACGCTCTGCCTTCACAGTACTTCCTTACAGAAATCTGCCCTCTTGGTCATCCAAAACTCTCAAGTCAAATTCCACTTTCATATAGAATTTAAAAAGCTTAAAACTGAAAAGACTCCTTGAAACATTCTCATCATCAGCATTTATTTTTCCCTTGAGAATTCTAATGCATATCAGCATGGTTAAGTGACTGGCCCAGGGTCACACAGCTGCTGGCACTACATCCATTCATTCATGAACTTAAAAAGTGTTGACTGAACAATATACAGATTCGATGCAATCCCTATCAAATTACCAACAGCATTCTTCAATGAACTGGAACAAATAGTTCAAAAATTCATATGGAAACACCAGAGACCCAAATAGGTAAAGCAATCCTGAGAAGGAAGAATAAAGTGGGGGTGATCTCACTCCCCAACTTCAAGCTCTACTACAAAGCCACAGTAATCAAGACAATTTGGTACTGGCACAAGAACAGAGCCACAGACCAATGGAACAGAATAGACTCCAAACATTAACCCAAACATATATGGTCAACTAATATTCGATAAAGGGGCCATGGACATACAATAGGGAAATGACAGTCTCTTCAACAGATGGTGCTGGCAAAACTGGACAGCTACATGTAAGAGAATGAAACTGGATCACTGTCTAACCCCATACACAAAAGTAAATTTGAAATGGATCAAAGACTTGAATGTAAGTCATGAAACCATAAAACTCTTAGAAAAAAACATAGGCAAAAATCTCTTAGACATAAACATGAGTG